CCTTATAAATCTGAATAAAAACAGGATAAAAACAGTTTCAGAAGCATATTTTAATTTGCTATACTATTTTAAAACTATTTTTAATGGCAATTTTAAACATATTTTGAAAAAAAAAAAAAGGTTTAAAATAGGTACAAAAATATATTTTTAATGTATTTTTCGACTGATTTTAAAGGTGTTTTAACCTCTTTAAAACGCTATTAAAATGTTATAATTCAAAATATATTTTAATAGCTGTTTAATCGGTTTCGAAATTTAGTAAAATACTCGTATTTGCAAATACAATAAATACACTTTGAAAATAGTATTAAAATACCACAGAAGAAGAAAAGCAATGGCGCGCATATATTGTGGAAATAAATCAAAAATAGGATGAAAAAATGCAAAAACAGTATAAAACTGTATAACTTCAACTGCTTAACACAAAAGAACAAACCCACTTGACAAAAATCTGAGACACGGTTTTTTAGTCCAACGTGTTAAGAAGCGAATGCGATCTTAATTGGCTTCTTCCGTTTACATTTGGCTGGCCTGGACTTAAATTTACAGTGACACCCACTTTCACAAAAAGCCTCTCATTTCTGAATCGCGTTAATATTTTGATTTTTTAAAAGAAATAAGCAATAATCTGGAACTATTAAGCTTTCAGAAAATGTAGGGTTTATGGAGGCATTTAAAAGCAAAAGCGCTAGCACCGATCAACGGGAGGAGGGTGCTTGATACCTTAAAGCCTTGCTATAGATAACCTGCGACATCTATAGCATAGCCTGCGAAAACATCCGTTTCTCCTCGCTCTTCGCCGCTGGGGACGTTTCGCGAAGAGGAACGAAACGAAACGAAACGAAACGCGCGAAACGTCCACACCGGCGAAGAGCGAGGAGAAACGGATGTTTTCGCAGGCTATGCTATAGATGTCTTCTTGATTTTGCCTGACCCAGGAAGCACGTGAGAGGTCCAGCAGGGGGTTGAGTGGAGGATTCAGAGATGTAATTTTGAAAGATGGTTAGTACATGCAATCATCCATTCCTTGCGCCACTGGATGATCCATGACCTAGTTGGAAGTGAAAGGGGTACTTATCTCAAACTCTGCCTTACATGAAGTGTTTTTGTTTGAGGCACTGTTGTGTCGGCAGCCTCTAAGAAGTGCCTCTGTAGCCCCCTTTTCGGATTAAATCCAGAAAATTTCGCCAGCATTTAACAAATTAAATGAAACTGAATAAAATCGATGAAGTTTGAAACATTGCGAATTTACTTTTTAAGTGAATTTTCGGTTTGTTGTCAGCCCAAAATTTTGCTACCATGGCAACGTGACGTAAGGACTTCTCCTCTCTATTGAAAACATTTTAGAATTTTAACGCAAAAGGTATACGAAACAATATATTAAGTAAAGGCGAAGTAATTTGGTTCAATACCCATATAAAGTACATATGTCAAGCACTTACCTAACAATGTCACAGCTAAAACGAACTCATTTCTTCCAACGTTCCATGGCTTGTTAACGTGCGTGTTGACTAGATGGCTTTCTTTCGTATGATTCATTGTCTCATGAAACGTTGCTTCTAAATTTTTTTATAAGCAAAATGAAAGTTTAGGACGTGAAAGTATCGGTTTCCACTTGAAGCTGTGTCTCTCAGCGAAATGACCCTGCGTTGTTTCGCACATTAAGGAACAACAAATTGAAATCGACTTCTGCTGGTTGGACGTTGTTTTTAGACGGAACAATTCAACAGAACGCGTTTCAGGCTGTCTGGTAGAGGTTTAAAAGTCCCCATGGGGTCAACATGGTCAATTACCAGTGCAAGGTTTACGTCAATGTATATGGACATCCCTGACTTGCATGCTAATTGCTTTTTTGTTTTCCCCGTTTAAACAAAAGAGAGCGTGGGATTGCGGTTGGGGTAACCTGAGGTGTGGGCGTTTTCTTCGAGCGCGCAAATGTTTTTGCTCGCGAAAGTGCCATGACAGCTGTCGAACATAAACTAGCAGCTTTCGCCCGTCCAAAATACGCCTGCACTGCATGCTAGGCTGATTGTGATTGCATCATCGTTTGATGGCTATTTGCCACTTTTATGGCCATTCCATGCATTTCAATTGCAGGAGAAACACAGGTAATCCAAACTTTGTGATAGTACCACAGTAATGTTCCAGTAAAATTACAGTGTTTTTATGGGGTAAAAATACGACTCTACATTTTGTAGGAAATACTAGATAAAGGTCAATGAAACTTACTCTGCAGTTAGTTGTTGTTGTCCTTAGTGCTCAAACGATGTTTCATGATAACATGCTCAATTTCACCTCCATACAATATAATACACAAGGTAGGAGGCACGAGATGGCATCTCGGCTGCCAGTTTGGAAACCTATTTTAACAAGGCAAAACAATATAGCATCTAAGAAAAACTCTCAAGAGTTTTTAGCGTCGCAGGTTTCCGTTTTGAGGAGAAATAAAGCCACCAACTCCAGCACTTCTAACCGTCTATTTTTCGGCTGCACTGAAAGCCCTTGTCCTTGGTAATTTATTCAAGCTTTTTAGACTTGACATCACATTCGCACGGAAGTTTGCCATTTAGGGATAAAGATGAAGAAAATATGACAATCCTCTTATTCTTTTCATTATCCCCTGAATGACAAACTGCTTGTGCGAATGTGATGGCAAATCTAACATGCTTGAATAAATTACCTAATACAAGGGTTTTATTGCAGCTGAAAATGGATCGTTTAAAGAAAGGGAGTTGGTGGCTTTATTTCTCCTCAAGACGAGATCCTTCGGTGCTAAAAACTGGTATGAGATTTCTGTAGATGCTATATCTTGCTTTGTTGAGATTTTGTTTCGAAAATTATAAAGAGAAGGGCAAATAATAAGTAGATGTTCTTTAATCTTGCTCCGCATTCAGCATAAAGTTGTTCTTCTTGTATTGCGAACTGCATTCACCGTAGGTTTATGATTACTCAGTTTCTTGCAATAATAAAGCTTTGGCTAAGAATACCCTTGCAGACACTGCAGTTTTCTCTATTTGTGCGTCAAATTTTACAAATGTGTTAGCGTTGCATTTTAAGGTTAAATTTGACAAGCTATTTGTGCAGCGAGTTCTACGGTCACGATAGACTTCAAACTTGAAGACATAAAACTAGAGAGCTCTGAGGCTCATTTGCTGAAGTTAGAGAAAAATCTGTCTTAGGGTTTCGCAGTTACTGCCATTTTTTTTTAAAAATGTGGTTTTAAACAGCTTCCGATATCTCAAACGTTTTTATACCTACAAGAAAATAAATAACAGTTTCTTAATGTTCGACCATTTTTTATTAAGAACGCCAAAAATCAAAGAAATCGGTTAAATCATTGCTGCCGAAAATCGCGATTCAAAAACATAACCAACGCCCATATTAATAGGTTCGGGCCACCTTAAGAAGTCATTAAGATACGGAAGATTGACTTTATAAGATTTGATGATTTGCACAATTAACACCTATACAGGAGCCTCGCACCTTGCACCTTGCACCTATCCCGTAGTCATGGTGACCGTTGGAGCGCCACTAACTTAGCAACCCTTAGCATTAAGGTGCGGTAAAACGGGCATAAAAAAAAACATGCAACTTGTTTTGCAACGTTGCTGCCAAACGAGTTGAATAGCGATGTTGCGCGTTTTACCATCCTCATCAAACCTGCCTTGCAATGAGTCACCGAAGTTGTTAACAGGTATGAACGAGGGTGGTAAAAGATCGCTTTTCCACGCGGCGTTTTGCAACAAGTTGCATGTTTTTGCTGCCCGTTTAACCGAAGCTTCAATAATCTTGGCACCTTTGGCGTTTAGTTTTGAAAGATATTGCTATCTGGTATCAAAACCGCCAACTGTGCATGTAAAAGCAAATATGGTTTAATGTATATGTTTAGACAGCTATCTAAATTCAACCACATTAATCCTGTTAATCTGCCGAATTTGCCAAGGAACAGGCAAATGCAGACGGGACCTCAACATCACTTAAGGTAAGCAATTATACTTTTCTGTGAGAAACTGCCCACCTACCCCTCCCCTAAGTGAGACGTAAGTGTTAATGTTGGCTTAGGGGAGGGGTCGGTGGGCAGTTTCCCAGAAACGTGTAATGATCTGCATGTTTTAGCTTGTTTTTAAAGTATGGATTATTTTGAATGAATATACACTAAAACGATTATTGAAGGCAGCTTTTGAATGCCCTGAAGAATTATGGAGATCTTAGACTGTGTTAGCGACCTTGGCCGTCGGCCCATCGATCTGCATAATTCGTAAGGTCATACTCAGCCTCATCCAGTAATTGCTAATTATGATAGGAAAGTCTAATTCAATTATTGCATTATTATCCATATAACATATTCAGGCAATCATTTTCGTCTGAGCGACTGGCGTCAATGATGGTATAATGTATCTTTCAAATTTGGTGAGCGTCAGCAGGTTATGAATAATAAATGATTCTGAATATTAACCCGCGGATAAACGCCAATCAGAAACGGATAAATATTTGAAATCGATCATACAATTACTGATAATTATTTTTATCCTCTGCTACGGTAACGTTTTTAGGCTTCTGCTGTAATTCTATTTCTAACCACTTGACCATCATTGATTTAAAATACAGGAGGCACACATTCGATCACATCATATATTTGTTCTTGTTGTTTTATAAATATGACTTACTTTGTCGATGCGTGGAATTTGTTTTCTTTGGTGGCCATTTTGTCGATCGGGCATGAAACCAAGAATAATTTGAATAATCTGCGAACGGATCTGAGAAAGTCGGAAAACTGTCGGAAGGTTCGATGCTATGAGTGGCTCAGCTGACCGCAAAATTCAAAATGACCGCCAAAGAAACCAAATTCCACGCTTCGGTAAAGTACGTTATCTTTTTTTTAATATTATGCAATTCAATCGGATGTGAGAGCCGCACTGTGTCAAAACGTACAGGCCGGGAGGAGCACCTAGTTAACAAAACATCTTTAATGAAGCCGATATTGCAGAAGCCGCAGTGATTTAGAACTTGGTATCCAGACCTTCTCCTTGAAACTCTGCAAGTTCATTCACGAATGCAACTCTTGTACATGTATTATCGATGTCTGATCGGACAGGAGAAGGAGAGGTTACATCTAACTCTACTACGTCCTTGTCTTGTTCGGCTACGCAGGCGGTCCTTGAACAGGTCGAGCTTGTTCTTACACTTTCCAGTGATGTCCTCTCCCGGCTACTTCCCATTACCTCAAGAAATCTACTTCTCATAGAACGACAGGACTTACCGCAAACGTTGAAGAAGTAAATAAAAGGGTTAAAGACTGAGTTTGATATGCCCAGTCCATAGGTTATGAGACTCACCGGATCCATAACGTTCGGAAATTCCCTGAGATGCTGCACCAGTAGCCCAAAGTAGACAGCGAAAGGCAACCAGCAGACAACAAAACAAACAACTACAATCACCAACACGCGAAGAACCCTTCTTCTGGACTTTTCCAGCAACTTGGCATTTGTGATTGTGGGATTGTATATACTCCCTACAGTCGCGGAAAGTCTGCGATCCCTGGTCGATATCACTTTTATAATTCTGCGATATGATATAGTTAAGACTGCTAAGGGTATCACGAACCCAAGTAAGACTGAGGCAGCGAGGTAAATCTTCCCAACAAGAGACTGGCCGTGTGTAGTACTGCAGTAGTAGATGGTGCTGTTATTATAATCAAGAGGAATGAAATTGCTTGTATAAAAAATCGGAAGGCATTGAACTGTACCATATACCCAAGCAAAGAAGATCAACCAGACCGGCCTGAGATACCAAGCTCTATTGATGCACGTTAATTCCTGCTTCACAAATGTCATGTACCGATCAACACTTATTGCTGTCATCAGGCTGACTGAGATCACTGGGTTAAGGTGCTACGGAAAAGGAATAAAGTAAATATTGAATACTGTGGATATGGTTTGACTACAGGTGAAGAAGATACGAAAAGTCGTATATATTATCATATTTCGTACAGTAAAATAACAGGCAAGGTTTGCACTGGAGGCCAGTGGTTTTTGCATTCATAAGTGTTTTCACATTGAATATATTCAGGGTATTTTAGTGGATTCGCCAGCGTTTGCCGACATCGATAAATCCAGAGACATTCAAGCGGGAACTTTTACGCCCGTCATTTTCCTCTCAATTGGTTTTACCGCCAACTCATATGATCACTAGCGGAAAACTGTATCCGGGTTCGTTGGAAGAATTACTTACACTACAAAACGTTGAACAGTAATCTCTGAACAAAACATTCGGCTTTAGATTTCCGATTTAAAATCTGCTGACTTATTGACCAAACCAATCCGATACCAAAACGCTTCGGATTCGTCAGGAATAATCCAGCAAAATATCATCTAGGGTAAACCTTGCATCAAGGACATGTCCACATATTAATAAGCAACAAATAAAATCGCACTTTTCTTGAAGACAGGAAAAGACACGTTTATTGTTACTGATGTTTCCTCAGTGGGTGCAGGTGAAAGTTCCGGTTGTTGTCTCTGACTGGTTCAACTACTTATTTTCTTCGTCTGGGCATAATTGTGGAAGTTTAAACAAAGCGTTTTGGTCAATCACGTGAGAAAAGGAAAGTGAGGTGCGCTGCGGTTTTCCCTTTTAATTCTTGACGTTGCTGACGCTGAAATTTGTAATGTTTAGCTATAGTGTCTTGGCTCTTGTAGAGAGGACTTGCCGAAACATTTAGGCGAGAGATTACTGCTAATGATTGCAAAAAGGGCAGTTCTGGCTGACGTGCGTCGTTAGCAAAGAAATGAAGTCAGGGGCGGATCCAGGATTTTTCTTAGGAGGGGGTGCACTCGTCTCTTGCTGTACTTCAACACCAATAAACCACGTAGTTTTTTTTTTTTTTGCAGAATACCAGTTTTATTAGGAAACCGCAGGTCATCTCGGGGGGGGGGGGGCGCACCCCCTGCACCCTCCCCCTAGATCCGCCTCTGGAACTGGTGCCCTGGGAACATTATTCAAGCTAGATTAAACAGCTTTGATCTTAACTGTTTTCACTGAAACATTAATTTTAATTATTCTGCTTGATTAGTGGTGTCGACGCCTATTAGTTCACCAGGTCCTCTGAAATCGTTACAGTTAAAACAATGTAAATTAAAATCTATACCTGCATAACTCGTGCCAGCTTGCAGAAACCAACCTCTCTTTCGGCTATTTTATTTGGGTAATAAAAATTTACAAAGATGGTCAGGGGAATGCACAGCAAACACACCATCAGATCTGAGACGGCCAAGTTAACGAGGAAGAGCTGAACGGACGTTTTGTGACCTCGCCGGCGCAAGTTTGAGATTACTGCTAGCACGATTCCATTGCCAAGAAGTCCAATGATGAGGATTAAGCCTGTTGAAACAATGGTTCCTTGGCTTTAATTTTTTTTCTGCCTGTAGCCTCTGCCTCCTGCGAGCGGGCAAGATGAAACGAGTTTCTTGTTCTAATTAGCTACCAAAGTGGCCAAGATGGGCCTTCCTTGCCCGCCAGGGATTTCCCGCGTTGGTCCCACAAGAAAAAGTTTTCTTTTTGGCCAAATAATTCATTCTTTATTCGGATCAAGCTTGTTTCGTCAGATGGCGGCCTATTGGCCCGATTCATTTTTGCTTTTTATGAATGTCGACTTTGTCTCGGTCTGTAAAAACGCAAAACGAACGAGGCCAATATCCAGCCATCTTGACCTTACGCTTAGTCATTGCTACTACGCTACCTTAAAGATATCCCTGGGGGAGCTCCCGTATGAGATGCTCATCGTCTCGCTTTGGGTGTTTGGGATGGAAAGTCACTATATTTACCCACTCAGGTATCGTTCAGTACCGTGCATCAAAAAATAATTTACAAAAAATGCCCTGACACTGACCAAACAGAAATCTCTCTTAGGGGTCAGTTTAAGCTTGAGCCACACCCTCATTGGTCTCCCTTTGGGATTTAATTTGAATTTTCGGATGAGCATCCCCGACACTTTTATTTGGATTCGCCCCCCTAGAAAGATACATCTTTTGAACAAATAGATCTCTAGAGCAAGGTAGTTTGCCCCAAGTCTGTATTCTGGGATTAAAGATCTTGTTTACGTACGATTATTAAGTTTTCGTGCCAAAATCTTGCAAAATAAATATTATTTGCTGTTCGTTTTAACCCTGTAGATCGGTAGACATGGGAAAATTATATCCAGACTTCAAACATCTGTAAATATCGCATCGCAATGTCTGAGTATTAAGTAAAGTACATGATTTTTATTTTTTCCAAAATGGACTTTTTATAATTAAGTACGTTCTTCATAACTTCTAATTGTCCAGATTTTTCTAGAAAATCACAATTCCGTTAGGTTGTCGAAATTTCCTTTTATAATTTTCGAGGAGTTTGTTTTCTACGTAGCGATCGGAAGATCAGACGTGATCCAAAAGCCTGTAATTAATGTTGAAAATAGGTTAAAGTTTAGCATAAAGCCGGTTAGAAGTATATCTTGCAAAACGTTTACAGTTGGATGAAACATGTTTTCGCTTAAAACAGGAAAATTATTTCTGCTTTTTGTTTTGCTTTTGTAAACACCCCAGTCACAATTCATTATACATTCATCTAACTAAAGACTTGCAAAAAAAATGTTTTGACTCTTATTCGTTATGCCACGAAGGATACTGCTCAAGATCAACTGATCTCCCTCCTTTATATATAATAAACTATGCCAGACTAAGAACAAGTGTATTTTCAATTGGTTTTTAAGATTAAGATCTTCATATCGTTTTATCAAAATATTCACTGACAGTAATTTATCTTAAAATTCTGTGGAAGACACGAATGAATATAACAAACTGCCTTTTCCCGTTCATGGCCGTAGTCCGCTTACCTAAACACACGGCAGAAACAGCAAAAATTCCACTGTGAACATCCCAGGGCTTTCTCTCCAACACAGGGTTCATGTTGCGATCACCTCTTTGCTAAATTGTTTAGGTTCTGCTTGAGCCGTGGAAAATTCTCCTTGACGGTTCCAAGCAAGTGACGCGTTCTGTACCCCGGTGAGTTGTATTTGAAGACTATATTCAAATTACTTTAAAAGTCAAACTTCAAATGACCTCTGATGATCAAAATTAGAACTTACTAACAAATAGACTTAATTTTTTATTGCCAATTTATCAAGAGGTAAAAACGAATTTCTGTTGTTTTTCGTTCTTTTCTCGAATCTCAAAACTAATATTCGGTGAAAAGTTTTAAGTATAAGCACTTAACTATTACGGAATGGCATCACACCAGAATCAACATGAAATAGAATGTTAAAAGTATTTGAGATGAATAGATATGCGCCAGGTGTCTATCAGCAGCTTCATTTTAACTACTCATGTAGCTGATATATAATTTGTTTCAGAGTTATAACTGACCAGATCCTTCTTTTAACCATATGGCAACATGTGTCCTGAACTGAATTTATATTTTTGGGCCTTAAAACATTATACTGGCTCACAATTTTTGAGGAAGAGTGCAAATTTAATTAAAGCCCCAAGGTTGACAGAATGAGAATAGATTTCGGCCAAATTATACCCCTGGAGCTATTTTTCACAGACCTTGTTAAGACAAGTATGTTATTCAAACAAATAAATCTAAATGATAGTAGTGACAGAATAGTTTACAATATCTTGTAGCTAGAAGTCTGAAATCGCGACAATAGTAACAATTTTCCAGTGAATATTGAAACTGTAGAAGAATCAATATTTTCAAGGCTTGATAATTAATAGAATGGAAAGTTCAACAATGAAGAAGTCAAAAAAACAAAGTGAAAGAAATACAACTAAGGCAGATTTTAACAGAAAAAGCGTTTCTCGAGTTTTCTTGAGTCTGTGTTTTAAGCAAGAGCGTGGGATTGCTGTTGGGGTAACCTGCGGTGTGGGCGTTTTCTTCGAGCGCGCAAATGTTTTTACTCGCGAAAGTGCCATGACAGCTGTCCAACCCGACATGAACAAACAGCTTTCGCACGCCCAAAATACGCCTGCACTGCATGCTAGGCTGATTGTGATTGCATCAGCGTTTGATGGTTATTTACCACTTTTATGGCTTCCATGCATTTCAATTGCAGGGTAAACACATGTAACCCAGACTTTGTGATAGTACCACAGTAATGTTTCAGTAGAATTACGGTTTTTTTATGGGGTAAAAATACGATCCTAAATTTTGTAGGAAATACTATATAAAGGTCAATGAAACTTACTCTGCAGTTAGTTGTTTTTGTCCTAAGTGCTCAAACGAAGTTTCATGATAACGTGCCCAATTTCACCTCCATACAATATAATACACAAGGTAGGAGGCACGAGATGGCATCTCGGCTGCTAGTTTCGAAACCTACTTTAACAAGGCAAAATATAGCATCTAGGGAAAACTCTCAAGAGTTTTTAGCGTCGCAGGTTTCCGTTTTGAGGAGAAATAAGGCCACCAACTCCAGTACTTCTAACCGTCCATTTTTCGGCTGCACTGAAAGCCTTTGTACTTAGTAATTTATTCAAGCTTTTTAGACTTGACATCACATTCGCACGCGAATTTTGCCACTTGGGGATAAAGATGAAGAAAATATGACAATCCTCTTATTTTTTTCATTATCCCCAATGACAAACTGCTCTTGCGAATGTGATGGCAAATCTAACATGCTTGAATAAATTACTTAATATAAGGGTTTTCATTGCAGCTGAAAATGGATCGGTTGAGGAACTGGAGTTGGTGGCTTTATTTCTTCTCAAGACGGGAACCTTCGGTAATAAAAATTGGTAGTAGATTTCCGTAGATGCTATATCTTGCTTTGTTGAGATTTTTCATTCGAAAATTATAAAGAGAAGGGCAAATACACGGTAACTTTGATAAATGGGTGTTCATTAATCTTGCCCCGCGTTCAGCATAAAGTTGTTCTTCGTGTATTGCGAACTGTATTCGCCGTAGGTTTATGATTACTCAGTTTCTTGCGATAATAAAGCTTTGGCTTAGAATACCCTTGCAGACACGGCAGTTTTTCTAAATTTGTGCGTCAAATTGCACAAATGCGTTAGCGTTGCATTTTAAGGTTAAATTTGACCAGCTATTTTTGCAGCGAGTTCTACGGTCACGATAGACCTCACACTTGCAGACATAAAACTAGAGAGCTCTGAGGCTTATTTGCTGAAGTTAGAGCAAGATCTGTCTTAGGGTTTCGTAGTTACTGACATTTTTGTAAAAATGTGGTTTTAAACAGATGCCGATATCTCAAACGTTTTTATACCTACAAGAAAATAAATAACAGTTTCTTAAAGTTCGACCATTCTTTATTGACGATGCCAAAAATCATAAAAATCGGTTAAATCAGCATTCCTGCCGAAAAACCCAAAAACATAACTAACACGCAAATAAATAGGTCCGGGCCGCCTTAAGAAGTCATTAAGATACGGAAGACTGACTTTGTATGATTTGATGATTTGCATAATTTACACCTATACAGGAGCCTTGCCGCTTGCACCTTGTACCTATCCCGTAGTCATAGCGACCGTTGGAGCGCCACTGACTTAGCAACACTTAGCATTAAGGTGTGATAAAACAGGCATAAAAAAACATGCAACTAGTTTTGCAACGTTGCTGCCAAACGAGTTGAATAGCGATGTTGCGCGTTTTACCACCCTCATCAACCCTGCCTTGCAATGAGTCACCGAAGTTGTTAACAGGTATGAACAAGGATGGTAAAAGATCGCTTTTCCACTCGGCGTTTTGCAGCAATATTGGAAAACAAGTTGTATGTTCTTGCTGCCCGTTTTACCGAAGCTTCAATAATCTTGGCACCTTTGGCGTTTAGTTTTAAGAAAATTAATATTGCTCTCTGGTATCAAAACCGCCAACAGTGCATGTAAAAGCAAATATAGTTTAATGGATATGTTTATACAGCTATCTAAGTTCAGCCACATTAATCCTGTTAATCTGCCGAATTTGCCAAGGAACAGGCAAATGCAGACGGGAACTCAACATCGATTAAGGTAAGCAATTATACTTTTCTTGGAAACTGCCCACCTATCCCTACCCTAAGTGGGAAGTAAGTGTTAATGTTGGCTTAGGGGAGGGGTCGGTGGGCAGTTATCCAGAAACGTGTAATGATCCGCATGTCTTAGATTGTTTTTAAAGTATGGATTATTTTGAACGCCTACAATAAAACGATTATTTAAGGCAGCTTTTGTATGCCCTGAAGAATTATCAGATCTCAAACTGTGTGAGCGACCTTGGCCGTCGGCCCATCGATTTGCATAATTCTTAAGGTCATACTCAGCCTCATCCAGTAATTGCTAATTATGATAGGAAAGTGGAATTCAATTATTGCTTTATTATCCATATAACATATTCAGGCAATTATTTTCGTCTGAGTGACTGACGTCAATGATCGTATAATGTATCTTTCAAATTTGGTGAGCGTCAGTAGGTTATGAATAATAAATGATTTTGAATATTAACCCGCGGATAAATGCCAATCAGAAACGGATAAATATTTGAAATCGATCATACAATTATAATTATTTTTATGCTCTGCTACGGTAACGTTTTTAGGCTTCTGCTGTAACTCTATTTTCTAACCACTTGACCATCATTGATTTAAAATACAGAAGGCACACTTTCGATCACATCATATATTTGTAATTGTTGTTTTATAAATATGACTTACTTTGTCGATGCGTGGAATTTGTTTTCTTTGGTGGCCCTTTTGTCGATCGGGCCTGAAACCAAGAATAATTTGAATAATCTGCGAACGGATCTGAGAAAGTCTGAAAACTGTTGGAATTTTCGATGTTATGAGTGGCTCCGAAGATTTTTCGGTTTCAGACCCCCCCCCCCACCAGCTGACCGCAAAATTCACAATGACCGCCAAAGATAACAAATTCCACGCTTCGGTAAAGTACGTTATCTTTTTTTTTTAAATATTATGCAATTCAATCAGATGTGAGAGCACCTAGTTAACAAAACATCTTTAATGAAGCCGATACTGGTGCAATCACGCAGTGATTGAGAACTTGGTATCCAGACCTTCTCCTTGAAACTCTGCAAGTTCGTTCACGAATGCAACTCTTGTACATGTATTATCGATCGATGTCTCATCGGACAGGAGAAGGAGAGGTTGCATCTAACTCTACTATGTCCTTGTCTTGTTCGGCTACGCAGGCGGTCCTTGAACAGGTCGAACTTGTTCCTACACTTTCCAGTGATGTCCTCTCCCGACTACTTCCCATTACCTCAAGAAATCTACTTCTCATAGAACGACAGGACTTACCGCAAACGTTGAAGAAGTAAATAAAAGGGTTAAAGACTGAGTTTGATATGCCCAGTCCATAGGTTATGAGACTCACCGGATCCATAACGTTTGGAAATTCCCTGAGATGCTGCACCAGTAGCCCAAAGTAGACAGCGAAAGGCAACCAGCAGACGACAAAACAAACAACTACAATCACCAAGACGCGAAGAACTCTCTTCCTGGACCTTTCCAGCAACTTGGCATTTGTGATTGTGGGATTGGATATATCCCCTACAGTCGCAGAAAGTCTGCGATCCCTGGTCGATATCACTTTTATAATTCTGCGATATGATATAGTTAAGGCTGCTAAAGGTATCACGAACCCAAGTAAGACTGAGGCAACGAGGTAAATCGTCCCAACAAGAGATTGGCCGTGTGTAGTACTGCAGTAGTAGATGGTGCTGTTATTATAATCAAGAGGAATGAAATTGCTTGTATAAAAAATCGGAAGGCATTGAACTGTACCGTATACCCAAGCAAAGAAGATCAACCAGGCCGGCCTGAGATACCAAGATCTATTGATGCACGTTAGTTCCTGCTTCACAAATGTCATGTACCGATCAATACTTATTGCTGTCATCAGGCTGACTGAGATTACAGGGTTAAGGTGCTACGGAAAAGGAATAAAGTAAATATTGAATACTGTGGATATGGTTTGACTACAGGTGGAGAAGATACGAAAAGTTGTATATTATTACCATATTTCGTACTGTAAAATAACAGGCAAGGTTTGCACTGGAGGCCAGTGGTTTTTGCATTTATAAGTGTTTTCACATTGAATATATTCAGGGTATTTGGATTCTCAAGCGTTCGCCTACATCGATAAATCCAGAGACATTTAAGCGGGAACTTTTACGCCCGTCATTTTCTTCTCAATTGGTTTTACCGCAAACTCATATGATCACTAGCGGAAAAGTAACCGGATTCGTTGGAAGAATTATGTACACTACAAAACGTTGTACAGTAATCACTGAACACGACATTCGGCTTTAGATTTCCGATTCAAAATCTCCTGACTTATTGACCAAACCAATTCCGGCAATTAACAAAAGGACATGCCCACATATTAATGAGCAACAAAATCGCACTTTTCTTGAAGACAGGAAAAGACGCGTTTATTAATTGTTACTGATGTTTCCTAAGTGGGCGCAGGAGAAAGTTCCGTTTGTTGTCTCTGATTGGTTCAACTATTTATTTCCTTTGTCGGGGCATAATTATATAGTGGAAATTTAAACAAAGCGTTTTGGTGACTCACATCAAAGGAAAGTGAGGTGCGCTGCGGTTTTCCCTTTTAATTCTTGACGTTGCTGACGCTGAAATTTGTAATGTTTAGCTATAGTGTCTTGGCTCTTGTAGAGAGGACTTGCCGAAACATTTAGGCGAGACATTACTGCTAAATATTGCAAAAAGGCTTCTTCTAGTTGACGTGCGTCGCTAGGAAACGAATGAACTGGTGCCCTGGGAACATTATTCCCGCGAGATTAAAGAGCTTTGATCTTAACTGTTTTCATGGTCTGCTACACAGCCGTTTTTAGAGTCGTCACGCAACGCTCTTCCCCACTAATTGCGTGACGACACTAAAAACGGCTGTGTAGCAGACTACTGTTTTCACTGAAACATTACTTTTAATTATTTTGCTTGATTAGTGGTGTGACGCCTATCACTTCCACCAGGTCCTCTGAAATCGTTACGGTTAATACATTGTACATTAAAATCTTTACCTGCGTAACTCGTGCCAGCTTGCAGAAACCAACATCTCTTTCGGCTATTTTATTTGGGTAATAAAAATTTATGAAGATTGTCAGGGGAATGCACAGCAAACACACCATCAGATCTGAGACGGCCAAGTTAACGAGGAAGAGCTGAACGGACGTTTTGTGACCTCGCCGGCGCAAGTTTGAGATTACTGCTAGCACGATTCCATTGCCAAGAAGTCCAATGATCAGGATTAAGCCTGTGAAACAATGGTCCTTTGGCTTTAATTTTTTTTCTGCCCGTAGCCTCTGCCTCCCGCGAGCGGGCAAGATGAAACGAGTTTCTTGTTCTAATTAGCTACCCAAGTGGCGCAAGAAAAAGTTTTCTTTTTGGCCAAATAATTAATTCTTTATTCGAACCAAGCTTGTTTCGTCAGATGGCCGAATATTGACCCGATTCATTTTTGCCTTTTATGGATCTCGACTTCGTCTCGGTCTGTAAAAACGCAAAACGAACGAGGCCAATATCCAGCCATCTTGACCTTACGCTTAGTCATTGCTACTACTCTATGGGATGCTCGTCGTCTCGCTCTAGGTATTTGGGATGGAAAGTCACTATATTTACCCACTCAGGTATCGTTCAGTACCGTGCATAAAAATATTTACAAAAAATGCCCTGACACTGACCAAACAGAAATCTCCCTCAGGCGTCAGTTTAAACTTGAGCCACACCCTCATTGGTCTCCCTTTGGGATTTAATTTGAATTTCCGACGATCATCGTACCCCCGTCAACAGTTTTACATGGAATTCTGTCCTCCCGAGAAAGATATATATTTGAGCAAATATATCTTTAGAGCAACGTAGTTTCCCTCAAGGCTTTGTATTCTGGGATTAAAGATCTTGTTTACGTACAATTATTAAGTCTTCGTGCCAAAATCTTGCAAAATAAATATAATTTGCTGTTCGTTTTAACCCTGCAGATTCAATGGCAGACATCCTAAAATTATATCCAGACTTCAAACATCCGTAAATATAGCATCGCAATGTCTCTGTATTAAGTAAAGTACATGAATTTTATTAATTCCAAAATGGACTTTTTTTAATTAAGTACGTTCTTCTTAACTTCTAATTGTCCAGATTTTTCTAGTAAATCACAATTCAGTTAGGTTCGCGAAATTTCCTTTTATAATTTTCGCGGAGTTTGTTTTCTACGTGGCGATCCGAAGATCAGACGTCATCCAAAAGGCTGTAATTAACGTTGAAAATAGGTTAAAGTTTAGCATAAAGTCGGTTAGAAGTATATCTTCCAAAACGTTTATAGTTGGAGGAAACATGTTTTCGCTTAAAACAGGGAAGTTATTTCTGCTTTTTGTTTTGTTTTTATAAACACCCCAGTCACAATTCATTCATTATACATTCATCTAACGAAAGACTTGAATAAATGATGCTTTGACTGTTATTCGTTATGCCACGAAGGGTACTGCTCAAGATCAACTGATCTCCCTCCTAAAAAAATAAAACACTGTCCCAGACTAAGAACTGGTGTATTTTCAATTGGTTTTTAAGATTAAGATCTTCATATCGTTTTATCAAAATATTCACTGACAGTAATTTATCTTAAAATTCTGTGGAAGACACGATTGAATATAACAAGCTGCCTTTTCTTTTGCCGTTCACGGCCGTAGTCCGCTTACCTAAACACACGGCAGAAACAGCAAAAATTCCACTGTGAACATCCCAGGGCTTTCTCTCCAACACAGGGTTCATGTTGCGATCTCCTTTTTGCTAATATTGCTTAGGTTCTGATTGAACCGTGGAAAATTCTCCTTGACGGTTCCAAGCAAGTGACGCGTTCTGTACACCGGTGAGCTGTATTTGAAGACTATATTCAAAATACTTTTAATTAGAAGTCAAACTTTAAATTACCTCTGATGATCAAAATTAGAACTTACTAATAAACAGACTAAATTTGTTATTGGCAATTTATCAAGAGGTAAAAAGGATTTTCTGTTGTTTTTCGTTCTTTTCTCTCAAAACTAGTGTTCGGTGAAAAGTTTCAGTATAAGCACTTAACTATTACGAAATGGCATCACATCAGAATCAACATGAAATAGAATGTTAAAAGCGTTTGAGATGAAATGATACGCGCCAAGTGTTTATGAGTTGTTTAATTTTAACTACTCAGGTAGCTGATATATAATTTGTTTCAGAGTTATAATTGACCAGACCCTTCTTTTATATGTTTCACCATACGGCAACATGTGTCCTGAACTGAAAATGTATTTTTGCCCTTAAAACATTATGCTGGCTCACAATTTTTGAGGAAGAGTGCAAATTTAATTAAAGCCCCAAGGTTGACAGAATGAAAACAGATTTCGGCCAAATTATACCCCCTGGAGATATTTTTTCATAAACCTTCTTGAGACGGATGTTACTAAAACGGGGAACGGGGAGCGGGGAGCGGGGAACGGGGAACGGAAGTCTGGGAACGAGTTGTCAGCGGAAACCTCCATAAAAATCCAAAATGGCCGGTAAGGATCAAGGACCCGGTAAGATCGATGATAGAGAAGCGTCGAAACAACACTTAAGGTCGCTATTTTACTAATGAACTATATGCTCATGAGGTGCTTGAAATAATACGGAGGTAATAATGTCATGACATTTTTCACCTTTTTGCGTTTTACTAAACAACAAAATATGCTCCAACAGCAGTTGAAAGAAGCTACAGTCGGGACAAAAACTCTCAAAGCACAGCCATATTTGGAACTCAAGCGAATCTATACTGGGTCTAACTCACAAAGCAATGAACTACTTTTGCTTGACGCTTTTCGTAGGGTTTTGGCTTAAATACATGCTGAAAGATAACGTAGATCGAAGCAGCCAGGTGTATTTCCTCGACAGTAATAGTGTAGCAGTGGAGCTCCTTCTTAGCTGTAGCGTTTTTTCAAGCCCAAATTAAAACATGTTGGCGATGAGATAAAACTGTAAGTCTAATAATATTATATTTACAAACCTATGATGAGAAGTAAGTGCAATTGTATTATTTGAAAAGATAAGATGATCAGGTTATTTAATACATCAATAAAAGGCAACTTTAAACATATTAACGGGGAATGTGCCAGGAACATCAATCATACCTTGGTCTTAAAGATATCAGTTGTTTCAAAGCAAATGGCTATGCTGTGGTTTTATTTAATTATAACCTAGGTTTAAATTTTGCTTCCCTTTGTTTGGGGGTACGGTAATATGAATTTTATGATTATGAGTTCAAAACAAAGAGAATAAAATTCAAACTTAGGATAAAAGTGAACCACAACTGAGCTGCAATATTAAGTGTTGCAAGTATACGTGGGGGAAGTACTTTGAAGTCTTTGGTTGGAAGGTACTTTCTAAAGGCTAGCTGTTAAAATATGCATGGTAAGCATACTTCCTCTGTTTAGCCCTCTGGATGCTTATTTTTTTTCTAGGGGCACTCCTTTAATGTTTTTGCAGAGGGGAGCTCTGCTTCTCTTTAATGAACATTATTTTTACTGTGGAGAAAAATATTTCAAGCTCAGTGTAAAACTGAATGTGTCAGTGACTTAAACCAGTTAATATTGCCAAGCTGCTTTATTAGCTTGATTCAGTAATATTGCAGTGCACCTACCATCAAGCATCACATCATCAATGTTGCAGAGGCTGGCAGCTTATTAGAAGGTGGTTGATAAGCCTTCAAGCAAGCTGTCTGTAGTTTTGGAAATAACGAGTCTAAGGTCTCACACAAGTGATGGGAGGCAAAAGATTGGAGTGCCGATATGTTTTTCAGTAAACACACGCAACTGTATGTGTATAGTTTCCACATTACGCTTACTCAATGCATGTAAAATAACACAATAGATCTTGCTACCCATTTTCCCTGATTTTATTTCCCCTCCAGGGGACATAATTTCTTTTAACATATCGGGGTTTTCAAAAAAGGGGCAAGAAGCTTTTAAATGAATTTTAATTCATTTAATGAAGCACAGTATGAAAGAAATTAAAGAGAAGAATCAGACTAGAGTAACAGTAACCTAGAGGGGAGGGGGGGAGTACTCACCAAAGAGGCTCTGCCCCAGGGACCAACCCTTTACCCTTTGTATGTACCATTTTAGACAGAAAAGGTACCCCTTTTGTATACCCTCTAGTGACAAATGGTACCCCTTTCACATACCTAATTTTGAACGCTGCATCCCTTTTTAACTGCTGTAAATACACCATCTTTACAAAAACAGGTTTTCTTGTCTCTCACATCCATAAAATGCATCTGTGACTGATCTCATTTTGGTCCCTTTCATATACTTCAACTATAACAACCCCTTCCCTTTCATGTACCTAAAGCCTGAAAAAGGCGTCAGGCTCTGTTTAGGTCATTATAGTACCCCCTCCTCCTGCACCGAGAACAGCGATACAGCGATACAGCGATATTGTATGGTATGAATTGCACCAAACGTTTCGTGCCCATGAAGAGGTACTTTGATTATTTTACGACATTTTTCTTCAAAAGGGAGGGGTTTGGGATCTCATTCATAGGGGGGGCGGGGGGTTAATTGAGGATCTGCAGTGAGTGAGAATGTTGCATTCAATGCCATCCAATGGTTTTGATTCAGGAAAGGGTCGTCAGGGGTATTTCGCAGAAAGACAAATGGCCACTGTACGACTTTGAAGCAGTTACTGATTAGGGTGAGGAAAATGAGTGAATTAGGTTCCATTAGGGTCATTATACTGGTCTATACTGGGCAAACTGACCTGAAACAAATTGTTTCACGAAATAATAAAATGATATTATTTTATTTTCATGGATCAGTGAAACACTTCAATATCATGAATGCTTGCAGTGTAGTAGATCTAATAATATTAAAAGCAGAACCAGATTGTTAAAGTAGTCTTACTAATTATGTGATGACGTGGTCAATAACATTTTTCAAAGCAGTCATCTCTATCAAAGGAAACAGAAGAAGTTTGCACACAAGCTACTTGACTACTTCGATGTATGTTATCTATCATGGAAAAGTAGTTAATTTCTTTTGTGGGCTAGACTCAGTATAGATTCGCTTGAGTTCCAAATATGGCTGTACATGTGCTTTGAGAGTTTTTGTCCCGATTGGCTTCTTTCAACTGCTGTTGGAGCACATTTTGTTTCCTACGGATAATTGTTTAGTAAAACGCAAAAAGGTGAAAAACGTCATGAAGTTATTACCTCCGTATTATTTCAAGCACCTCATGAGCATATAGTTCAAGTAAAGTAACGCCGTTATCGGTTAAGTTTGTTTCGACGGTTCTCTATCATCGATCATCGGCCATATTGGATTTTTATGGAGGTTTCCGCTGACAACTCGTTCCCAGACTTACGTTCCCCGTTCCCCGCTCCCCGCTCCCCGTTCCCCGTTTTAGTAACATCCTCTTGAGACAAGTACGTTATTAAAACAAATGAATATGAATGATCGTAGTGACTGAATATTTTATAATATCTTGTGGTTAGAAGTCTGACATCGCGACAATAGTAACAATTTGCCAGTGAATATTGAAACTGTAGAAGAATCAATATTTTCAAGGCTTGATAATTAATAGAATGGAAAGTTTAACAATGAAGAAGTCGAAAAAAAAAATTGACAATAGCTTCAACTTACCAGGTAAAATCGCGAACTGAACAGGTCTGTATGCAGTCGGCTTTCTTAGCGAATCATAAAAATGGCGGCATCTAATTTGTTATTGGCAATAAAAGCAAGTTTTGTGCAGTGGTTATGTAACTCAATTTTGTTTAAATAAATAATTTTATTATTCATTCAAATATTTCTCCGTTTCCGATTGGCTTCGACCCTTGGCAAACTCTTCAAAACCAGCTGTATTCAGACTAACGGTCGGCGGTGGACAACAACCTTCTCGAACGGCTGAATTGTGATAATTGTTAATATCCTAACCAAAAATACGTTATCGCAAAAACCACGCGAAGTTATAGAGAGTCAGAAAAGAATAAGGGAAACAAGGTATAGGGAAAAATATGATATGACTGTTTTTAAGCCTTTGCCACGCCTATTTACCATTTATTGATGCACGCTTTTCGCGTGGGAAGTACAAAATATCTTTTTAAAGTTTTATAACAATTTCACTGGAGTCCTATTGTCTACAACAAGTCAGAAACAGCTATGGAAAACAAAGCATTTTATTAAAAATGAATTATTATGTCCAGTTATTTCAGACAAAATGCAAACATTTTCTTCTTTTCTAAATGGACTTAAAAAGTTTCCTTGAACGTAGCCTGTTCCAGGCGTTCAGATAGTGGGGAGCGGTGCAAAGTAAAAGGGAGCGCGAAAAAGTAAAAGCGAGGCAGGAGGAGAGGTGAGAGAGGGAACGCCTGTTAGATTTGTTTTAAATAGACTCTTCCGCCCAGTCAGACCGCATCAGCTGTAGGTGGTCTTCACTTGTCAATCAAGACTGGTGTTACAGCCCGATGCATTTATTATTTTTCTTGCGAATAAATCGAAGTTTGTCAGATCAAAAATTAATATTATGTATACATAATCTTACTAAAAACCCAATGTAAGACTTTCAGACAATAGAAGGCGGGAGAAGTATTCATGTATAATGAATTTATTTACGGCTTTAAAAACATGATTTCAGCGTGTACGTGACAAAAAATTATGAATCAAGTGACAAACAAATATCGCTCATTTCGATAGAAAGCCGTTTCAATACAGATCGTTAACTCAAGCAATGAAAATGCACAACAATTGAAGGGAAAATTTACTATTCGGTGATTGAGTGGACCTCGTCAATAGCGATAGCGTCAACTTGCTTTCCAAGCTTTTCTTTTTGAAGTCCTTTTGTCCATTCATTAGACAACCACGATTTGGCACTTCAGTAAACAATTTCACAGCTTCCACTTTTAACGGCTTCATCCATATCTTCTCCCATCATTGCCGCCGCTACTCCGATCTGACTTGTTCAAATATTCCACTTGGTCCATACTGGTAATCAACGGAGTTACCACAACAATCGTAAATGGCATTCTATCCTGCCTTCATTCCAACGCACGCTTTATTCGAGGAAAAACTGGAACATAAGAATTTTTTCCAAAGCCAGTCGGTGAGAAATTGCTAAGACATCTATCCTACCGACTACGTGTTTTAAACAGTTTCTTTGCTCTTCGCTTTTAGCCTCCACGTTTGGAAAGTCACTCAGCGCTGTGTTTGTTGCGAGTTTGAATTCTGCGTGACGGCACGTAGAGTCTGTCATAACGGCCATATCGCATTTCTCGCTGTGATCGAAGACGCTCCACTGTTGACAAAAACTGTCAAAATCAACCAATCAGAGGGTATACCAGGATCTGGTATACCGGAACGCACTTTTGTTAAGAATTCTTACAAGCGTTCCCGCACCTCTCTCCCCAGTCCCCCTCTACTTTTCATTGCTTTCTCTACTCCACACCGCTCTCCACTATCTGAACGCTTGGAACAGGCTACCTTGAAAGCGATTGCTCGGAGAGTGCTCAGAGAACGCTGGAAACGAGTTTGCAGATCGAGTTACCTTTCTGTAAAAACGTACCAATCAGTAACAGAGAGCCTGGAGGTTTAAGTTAGGTACATAAAACAATCGCTCTTAGTACAAGTGCAACTGACAATGACGTTAATCATCTATACTCGGCAATTGTGTCATAAAGGAACGTTTTTACTTAAATCGCCATTTTTGTTGACTTTGTAGACTACTATCGAAAGGTAAAAGTCGGAATTGATTTAGACTCCATCTTTTTGTTGTTGTTTCGAGAAAAAAAGTCGGTTTAATCGCTTTTTCTTGCGATAACCACTTCGATGAAACACGACGTTTCGATGCTTGACTATCAGGATGTATTGTCGATTGTGAAGTGCTGTTCGGGATTATTTGGCAACAGATTTGGGTCGCTGCTCTTGCTAATTGTTTCGATTTGGTCCTCACTACTCCAGCATTACTCATGTTACATGATTGTATAACTACCAATGGAAGTCGTTCACTCGGTAGGCAGCTAAAGTACCAGCGATCGAATGTTGCGTGGGCATCAGTCAGTACTAGGATATCAATTCCATCGGTCCTTTTGATGTAATGGAGTGAGTTTCTTATGTGGATCAGGTCATTGACGAACGGCCACTCTTTTCACTGTATTGATATCTTGATAGGCCTCCCCACCTCCTTCTTTTCCTCTTTTTTATTTTCCGTTAACTTGTTAACTTGAGTCGACCACCTACTGAGAACTGAAGCGGCCATTGGAAGGCGCCCTTCTTGAAACGGCCACTTATAGTTATTTGTAAGTTGAGTAGATATCAATTCTAAATGAATGGTGACTACTTGATACGTAAGGAAGTTGCAATTGGATAATCAGCTGAAGGCAATTGGCAAGGTTAAGGTGACGGTTGCATGGATCCTAGAGTTTACCAACGAGTCGGCCTTGCTAGCGCACTTGACTCGACTCTATCCCAGTGCATATTTCAGATATTTAGGTGAGTAGACTTGTTAATTAAAACGTAAGTTTAGCGTCAGTTATGGCCATTCTCCGTCTCGGAATCATCATCAAAGATGGCCTTTCGGTCAAACACCACTTTTAAGGATATCGGATATCTTCAAATGAGTTCTGCCCTGTATCCACCTGTACGGCATCCATAAAGGTGTCATCCAGGGTAAAAAAAAAAGATCATCATTTTTAGATGATTAAGTAGAGCGCATAAAGAGCTTTCTTTAAAAAAAATTCCAGGAAAAAATGTTTTGTCTGTGCAGACTTATGGAGCGAAAAATTTTTTTCTATGCCAATTATTTTAATTGATCGTTGACAAGTCCTGTCATACTTGATACGCGCGCCGCTGTTGAACCAAGCTAATGAAGCAATGGTATACGGGTATAGTTGCTCACTGTTTTTCCCTGGATTTTGGAAGTGAATGCCTCCAAAGAAGAAAAAAGAGCTTGTCCGTTTTCGTCCTCGACTCCAAGACGTGTGGGCTTCGAAATTAGCAGAGAGCGACAAGGGCTCCTACTACAAACAAGAAAAATGACTAAAAGATGACAAAGCTTCTGAAAAACCCATTGAAACTACCGCGAAATCGAGTTGCACGAGTTTCTTAGCGAGCGGAGCGAGCTTTTTAGGCTGCGAAGCGGCCAAGCGAGCGACAAATTCGCGACAGGTCCCGCGCCATATAAAAATCGGACGAAGGACTTTTTTGAAAGTCTATTGTAGCGGAAGAGCAGCTTCAAGAAAAACTCCAGGAAGCGTTTTGTTGTCGATTTTTCCAAGGAAGTGTCGAACTTTTAGAAAATGTATCGAGTAAAAGTTGGCTTGGCTCAAAATGAAAACTGCCCGTCGCAGTAAAAAAATAACTAAAGAGGCTTTCTCGACAACAGAAGGATCGAACAGAGCAGAGCCTTTGAAATAAATTGTTCATCTGTTGTCGGGTTTCGTTTGTAACCTTTTCCTGCTGTGTCACTATTGTTGTCCCTTTTCTGTTATGCATCAACATTGAAGGCTTTGGTGTTATAATCTGTTATAATCTCGTCACGGGCAAGTTGAGGGTACGTTTTAAACTCCAAGTCGGCAACCCGTGAACCACTTTGGCTGAAATTTGGCCAACTTCCTGTCAGATAGTTTTTCCAAAAACCGTGTCTGCGAATTTTGATTTCTTTTTTCGTTTTCGGGTAAGAGTATATTTTCAAAGGTAGTGCTAATGATTTGCTATCCATACCCTTACCAAATCCAACACTGTTTTGAATGTATTTTTAAGCTATTTTTGAAAACTGTTTTTAACTTGTTTTGTGAAATAAGTTTTAAATAGGGTGAGAAGTTTAATTTTTTATGTATTTTTCGACTGCTTTTAAAGGTGTTTTAACCTGTTTAAAACGCTATTAAAAAAGAATTTTTAAAGTATTTTAATATTCGTTTAAAATGTATAAAAAATTCCAGGGCTTTTGCAAGGCTCAAAACAGCTCTAAAACAGTTTTTATATACCTTATAAATCTGAATAAAAACAGGATAAAAACAGTTTCAGAAGCATATTTTAATTTGCTATACTATTTTAAAACTATTTTTAATGGCAATTTTAAACATATTTGAAAAAAAAAAAAAAAAGGTTTAAAATAGGTACAAAAATATATTTTTAATGTATTTTTCGACTGATTTTAAAGGTGTTTTAACCTCTTTAAAACGCTATTAAAATGTTATAATTCAAAATATATTTTAATAGCTGTTTAATCGGTTTCGAAATTTAGTAAAATACTCGTATTTGCAAATACAATAAATACACTTTGAAAATAGTATTAAAATACCACAGAAGAAGAAAAGCAATGGCGCGCATATATTGTGGAAATAAATCAAAAATAGGATGAAAAAATGCAAAAACAGTATAAAACTGTATAACTTCAACTGCTTAACACAAAAGAACAAACCCACTTGACAAAAATCTGAGACACGGTTTTTTAGTCCAACGTGTTAAGAAGCGAATGCGATCTTAATTGGCTTCTTCCGTTTACATTTGGCTGGCCTGGACTTAAATTTACAGTGACACCCACTTTCACAAAAAGCCTCTCATTTCTGAATCGCGTTAATATTTTGATTTTTTTTAAAAGAAATAAGCAATAATCTGGAACTATTAAGCTTTCAGAAAATGTAGGGTTTATGGAGGCATTTAAAAGCAAAAGCGCTAGCACCGATCAACGGGAGGAGGGTGCTTGATACCTTAAAAAGCCTTGCTATAGATAACCTGCGACATCTATAGCATAGCCTGCGAAAACATCCGTTTCTCCTCGCTCTTCGCCGCTGGGGACGTTTCGCGAAGAGGAACGAAACGAAACGAAACGAAACGCGCGAAACGCCCACACCGGCGAAGAGCGAGGAGAAACGGATGTTTTCGCAGGCTATGCTATAGATGTCTTCTTGATTTTGCCTGACCCAGGAAGCACGTGAGAGGTCCAGCAGGGGGTTGAGTGGAGGATTCAGAGATGTAATTTTGAAAGATGGTTAGTACATGCAATCATCCATTCCTTGCGCCACTGGATGATCCATGACCTAGTTGGAAGTGAAAGGGGTACTTATCTCAAACTCTGCCTTGCATGAAGTGTTTTTGTTTGAGGCACTGTTGTGTCGGCAGCCTCTAAGAAGTGCCTCTGTAGCCCCCTTTTCGGATTAAATCCAGAAAATTTCGCCAACATTTAACAAATTAAATGAAACTGAATAAAATCGATGAAGTTTGAAACATTGCGAATTTACTTTTTAAGTGAATTTTCGGTTTGTTGTCAGCCCAAAATTTTGCTACCATGGCAACGTGACGTAAGGACTTCTCCTCTCTATTGAAAACATTTTAGAATTTTAACGCAAAAGGTATACGAAACAATATATTAAGTAAAGGCGAAGTAATTTGGTTTAATACCCATATAAAGTACATATGTCAAGCACTTACCTAACAATGTCACAGCTAAAACGAACTCATTACTTCCAACGTTCCATGGCTTGTTAACGTGCGTGTTGACTAGATGGCTTTCTTTCGTATGATTCATTGTCTCATGAAACGTTGCTTCTAAATTTTTTTATAAGCAAAATGAAAGTTTAGGACGTGAAAGTATCGGTTTCCACTTGAAGCTGTGTCTCTCAGCGAAATGACCCTGCGTTGTTTCGCACATTAAGGAACAACAAATTGAAATCGACTTCTGCTGGTTGGACGTTGTTTTTAGACGGAACAATTCAACAGAACGCGTTTCAGGCTGTCTGGTAGAGGTTTAAAAGTCCCCATGGGGTCAACATGGTCAATTACCAGTGCAAGGTTTACGTCAATGTATATGGACATCCCTGACTTGCATGCTAATTGCTTTTTTGTTTTCCCCGTTTAAACAAAGTGAAAGAAATGCAATTAAGGCAGATTTTAACAGAAAAAGCGTTTCGCGAGTTTTCATCTTGCATCTGAGTTTCAAACGAGAGCGTGGGATTGCGGTTGGGGTAACCTGAGGTGTGGGCGTTTTCTTCGAGCGCGCAAATGTTTTTGCTCGCGAAAGTGCCATGACAGCTGTCGAACATAAACTAGCAGCTTTCGCCCGTCCAAAATACGCCTGCACTGCATGCTAGGCTGATTGTGATTGCATCATCGTTTGATGGCTATTTGCCACTTTTATGGCCATTCCATGCATTTCAATTGCAGGAGAAACACAGGTAACCCAAACTTTGTGATAGTACCACAGTAATGTTCCAGTAAAATTACGGTGTTTTTATGGGGTAAAAATACGACTCTACATTTTGTAAAAAATACTAGATAAAGGTCAATGAAACTTACTCTGCAGTTAGTTGTTGTTGTCCTTAGTGCTCAAACGATGTTTCATGATAACATGCTCAATTTCACCTCCATACAATATAATACACAAGGTAGGAGGCACGAGATGGCATCTCGGCTGCCAGTTTGGAAACCTATTTTAACAAGGCAAAACAATATAGCATCTAAGAAAAACTCTCAAGAGTTTTTAGCGTCGCAGGTTTCCGTTTTGAGGAGAAATAAAGCCACCAACTCCAGCACTTCTAACCGTCTATTTTTCGGCTGCACTGAAAGCCCTTGTCCTTGGTAATTTATTCAAGCTTTTTAGACTTGACATCACATTCGCACGGAAGTTTGCCACTTAGGGATAAAGATGAAGAAAATATGACAATCCTCTTGTTCTTTTCATTATCCCCTGAATGACAAACTGCTTGTGCGAATGTGATGGCAAATCTAACATGCTTGAATAAATTACCTAATACAAGGGTTTTATTGCAGCTGAAAATGGATCGTTTAAAGAAAGGGAGTTGGTGGCTTTATTTCTCCTCAAGACGAGATCCTTCGGTGCTAAAAACTGGTATGAGATTTCTGTAGATGCTATATCTTGCTTTGTTGAGATTTTGTTTCGAAAATTATAAAGAGAAGGGCAAATAATAAGTAGATGTTCTTTAATCTTGCTCCGCATTCAGCATAAAGTTGTTCTTCTTGTATTGCGAACTGCATTCACCGTAGGTTTATGATTACTCAGTTTCTTGCAATAATAAAGCTTTGGCTAAGAATACCCTTGCAGACACTGCAGTTTTCTCTATTTGTGCGTCAAATTTCACAAATGTGTTAGCGTTGCATTTTAAGGTTAAATTTGACCAGCTATTTGTGCAGCGAGTTCTACGGTCACGATAGACTTCAAACTTGCAGACATAAAACTAGAGAGCTCTGAGGCTCATTTGCTGAAGTTAGAGAAAAATCTGTCTTAGGGTTTCGCAGTTACTGCCATTTTTTTTTAAAAATGTGGTTTTAAACAGCTTCCGATATCTCAAACGTTTTTATACCTACAAGAAAATAAATAACAGTTTCTTAATGTTCGACCATTTTTTATTAAGAACGCCAAAAATCAAAGAAATCGGTTAAATCATTGCTGCCGAAAATCGCGATTCAAAAACATAACCAACGCCCATATTAATAGGTTTGGGCCACCTTAAGAAGTCATTAAGATACGGAAGATTGACTTTATAAGATTTGATGATTTGCACAATTAACACCTATACAGGAGCCTCGCACCTTGCACCTTGCACCTATCCCGTAGTCATGGTGACCGTTGGAGTGCCACTAACTTAGCAACCCTTAGCATTAAGGTGCGGTAAAACGGGCATAAAAAAAACATGCAACTTGTTTTGCAACGTTGCTGCCAAACGAGTTGAATAGCGATGTTGCGCGTTTTACCATCCTCATCAAACCTGCCTTGCAATGAGTCACCGAAGTTGTTAACAGGTATGAACGAGGGTGGTAAAAGATCGCTTTTTCACTCGGCGTTTTGCAACAAGTTGCATGTTTTTGCTGCCCGTTTTACCGAAGCTTCAATACTCTTGGCACCTTTGGCGTTTAGTTTTGAAAGATATTGCTATCTGGTATCAAAACCGCCAACTGTGCATGTAAAAGCAAATATGGTTTAATGTATATGTTTAGACAGCTATCTAAATTCAACCACATTAATCCTGTTAATCTGCCGAATTTGCCAAGGAACAGGCAAATGCAGACGGGACCTCAACATCACTTAAGGTAAGCAATTATACTTTTCTGTGAGAAACTTCCTACCTACCCCTCCCCTAAGTGAGACGTAAGTGTTAATGTTGGCTTAGGGGAGGGGTCGGTGGGCAGTTTCCCAGAAACGTGTAATGATCTGCATGTTTTAGCTTGTTTTTAAAGTATGGATTATTTTGAATGAATATACACTAAAACGATTATTGAAGGCAGCTTTTGAATGCCCTGAGGAATTATGCAGATCTTAGACTGTGTTAGCGACCTTGGCCGTCGGCCCATCGATCTGCATAATTCGTAAGGTCATACTCAGCCTCATCCAGTAATTGCTAATTATGATAGGAAAGTCTAATTCAATTATTGCATTATTATCCATATAACATATTCAGGCAATCATTTTCGTCTGAGCGACTGGCGTCAATGATGGTATAATGTATCTTTCAAATTTGGTGAGCGTCAGCAGGTTATGAATAATAAATGATTCTGAATATTAACCCGCGGATAAACGCCAATCAGAAACGGATAAATATTTGAAATCGATCATACAATTACTGATAATTATTTTTATCCTCTGCTACGGTAACGTTTTTAGGCTTCTGCTGTAATTCTATTTCTAACCACTTGACCATCATTGATTTAAAATACAGGAGGCACACATTCGATCACATCATATATTTGTTCTTGTTGTTTTATAAATATGACTTACTTTGTCGATGCGTGGAATTTGTTTTCTTTGGTGGCCATTTTGTTGATCGGGCCTGAAACCAAGAATAATTTGAATAATCTGCGAACGGATCTGAGAAAGTCGGAAAACTGTCGGAAGGTTCGATGCTATGAGTGGCTCAGCTGACCGCAAAATTCAAAATGACCGCCAAAGAAAACAAATTCCACGCTTCGGTAAATATTATGCAATTCAATCGGATGTGAGAGCCGCACTGTGTCAAAACGTACAGGCCGGGAGGAGCACCTAGTTAACAAAACATCTTTAATGAAGCCGATATTGCAGAAGCCGCAGTGATTTAGAACTTGGTATCCAGACCTTCTCCTTGAAACTCTGCAAGTTCGTTCACGAATGCAACTCTTGTACATGTATTATCGATGTCTGATCGGACAGGAGAAGGAGAGGTTACATCTAACTCTACTATGTCCTTGTCTTGTTCGGCTACGCAGGCGGTCCTTGAACAGGTCGAGCTTGTTCTTACACTTTCCAGTGATGTCCTCTCCCGGCTACTTCCCATTACCTCAAGAAATCTACTTCTCATAGAACGACAGGACTTACCGCAAACGTTGAAGAAGTAAATAAAAGGGTTAAAGACTGAGTTTGATATGCCCAGTCCATAGGTTATGAGACTCACCGGATCCATAACGTTTGGAAATTCCCTGAGATGCTGCACCAGTAGCCCAAAGTAGACAGCGAAAGGCAACCAGCAGACAACAAAACAAACAACTACAATCACCAACACGCGAAGAACCCTTCTTCTGGACTTTTCCAGCAACTTGGCATTTGTGATTGTGGGATTGGATATACTCCCTACAGTCGCGGAAAGTCTGCGATCCCTGGTCGATATCACTTTTATAATTCTGCGATATGATATAGTTAAGACTGCTAAAGGTATCACGAACCCAAGTAAGACTGAGGCAACGAGGTAAATCGTCCCAACAAGAGACTGGCCGTGTGTAGTACTGCAGTAGTGGATGGTGCTGTTGTTATAATCAAGAGGAATGAAATTGCTTGTATAAAAAATCGGAAGGCATTGAACTGTACCGTATACCCAAGCAAAGACGATCAACCAGGCCGGCCTGAGATACCAAGATCTATTGATGCACGTTAGTTCCTGCTTCACAAATGTCATGTACCGATCAACACTTATTGCTGTCATCAGGCTGACTGAGATTACTGGGTTAAGGTGCTGCGGAAAAGGAATAAAGTAAATATTGAATACTGTGGATATGGTTTGACTATATATTATTACCATATTTCGTACAGTGAAATAATATTCATATTGAATATATTAAGGGTATTTGGATTCTCAAGCGTTTTAGCTACATCGATAAATCCAGAGACATTCAAGCGGGAACTTTTACGCCCGTCATTTTCCTCTCAATTGGTTTTACCGCAAACTCATATGATCACCGGATTCGTTGGAAGAATTATTTACACTACAAAACGTGGAACAGTAATCACTGAACACAACATTCGGCTTTAGATGTCCGATTCAAAATCTCCTGAGTAACTGACCAAACCAATCCGATACCAAAACGTTTCGGATTCGTCAGGAATAATCCATCTAGTGTAAACCTTGCATCAAGGACGTGTCCACATATTAATGAGCAACAAAATTGCACTTTTCTTGAAGACAGGAAAAGACACGTTTATTGTTACTGATGTTTCCTCAGTGGGTGCAGGAGAAAGTCCCGTTTGTTGTCTCTGATTGATTCAACTATTTATTTCCTTTGTCGGAGCATAATAGTGGAAATTTAAACAAAGCGTTTTGGTGATTCAGGTCAAAGAAAAGTGAGGTGCGATGCGGTTTTCCCTTTTAATTCTTGACATTGCTGATGCTGAAATTTGTAATGTTTAGTGTCTTGGCTCTTGAAGAGAGGACTTGCCAAAACATTTAGGCGAGACAGTACTGTTAAATATTGCAAAAAGGCCAATTCTGGTTGACGTGTGTCGCTAGGAGACAAATGAACTGGTGCCGTGGGAACATTATTCCCGCGAGATTAAAGAGCTTTGATCTTAACTGTTTTCACTGATTAAGAAACATTACGTTTAATTGTTTTGCTTGATTAGTGGTGTCGACGCCTATCAGCTCCACCAGGTCCCCTGGAATCGTTACAGTTAATACATTTTACATTAAAATCTTTACCTGCATAACCCGTGCCAGCTTGCAGAAACCAACATCTCTTTCGGCTATTTTATTTGGGTAATAAAAATTTATGAAGATTGTCAGGGGAATGCACAGCAAACACACCATCAGATCTGAGACGGCCAAGTTAACGAGGAAGAGCTGAACGGACGTTTTGTGACCTCGCCGGCGCAATTTTGAGATTACTGCTAGCACGATTCCATTGCCAAGAAGTCCAATGATCAGGATTAACCCTGTTGAAACAATGGTTCTTTGGCTTTAATTTTTTTTTTCTGCCTGTAGCCTCTGCCTCCCGCGAGCGGGCAAGATGAAACGAGTTTCTTGTTCTAATTAGCTACCCGAGGAGCCAAGATGGGCCTTCCTTGCCCGCTCGGATTTCCCGCGTTGGTCCCGCAAGAAAAAGTTTTCTTTTTGGCCAAATAATTCATTCTTTATTCGGACCAAGCTTGTTTCGTCAGATGGCCGAATATTGGCGCGATTCATTTTTGCTTTTTATGGGTCTCGACTTTGTCTCGGTCCGTAAAAACGCAAAACGAACGAGGCCAATATCCAGCCATCTTGACCTTACGCTTAGACATTGCTACTTCGCTACCCAGCAAGAAGCCACACTTTCGCTATGGAAAAAATTAGTTCCCCGAGAGAGTGGCGGAAATGGAGCCTAGGTCTTAGTCAACACCTAAAAGGCGCTTCGCCTAACGTGCGTACGGTGTCACAGTAGCCGGGAAATAGAAAACGCAACCGTAAGTGAGTTTAGTACCTCCCTTAAAAGCAGCAAATCTAGGGAACAGTTTCTTTTACGGTTAACTCTTTTTAAACTCTATTTACGGCTAACGGTTAAAATTTTTTCATTTTTACGGCTATCGACTAAATTTTTGGCCGTTTTACGCCTATCTGTTAACCCAATTGAGACCCTCGAGAAAGATATATATCTTTTGAACAAATATATCTTTAGAGCAACGTAGTTTCCCTCAAGGCTTTGTATTCTGGGATTAAAGATCTTGTTTACGTACGATTACTAAGTTTTCGTGCCAAAATCTTGCAAAATAAATATCATTTGCTGTTCGTTTTAACCCTGTAGATTCAATGGTAAATTATATCCAGACTTCAAACATCTGTAAATATAGCATCGCGATGTCTGAGTATTAAGTAAAGTACATGAATTTTATTTTTTCCAAAATGGACTTTTTATAATTAAGTACGTTCCTCATAACCTCTAATGGTCAAGATTTTTCTAGAAAATCGCAGCTCAGTTAGGTTTTCGAAATTTCCTTTTAAAATTTTCGCGGAGTTTGTTTTCTACGTAGCGATCGGAAGATCAGAGTTGATCCAAAAGCCTGTAATTATTAAACGTTGAAAGGAGGTTTAGCATAAAGCTGGTTAGAAGTATCTCTTGCAAAAAGTTTACAGTTGGAGGAAACATGTCTTCGTTTAAAACAGAAAATTATTTCTGCTTTCGTGTTTTGTTTTTATAAACGCCCCAGTCACAATTCATTATACATTCATCTATCTAAAGACTTCAATAAATAATGCTTTGACTCTTATTCTTTATGCCACGAAGGATACTGCTTAAGATCAATTGATCTCCCTCCTATATATATATATATATAACTGTCCCAGACTAAGAACAAGTGTATTTTCAATTGGTTTTTAAGATTAAGATCTTCATATCGTTTTATCAAAATATTCACTGACAGTAATTTATCTTCTGTGGAAGACACGAATGAATATAAACAAGCTGCCTTTTCTTTTCCCGTTCACGGCCGTAGTCCGCTTACCTAAACACAAGGCAGAAACAGCAAAAACTCCACTGTGAACATCCCAGGGCTTTCTCTCCAACACAGGGTTCATGTTGCGATCACCTCTTTGCGAAATTGCTTAGGTGTTGATTGAGCCGTGGAAAATTCTCCTTGACGGTTTGAAGCAAGTGACGCGCTCTGTACCCCGGTGAGCTATATTTGAAGACTATATTCAAATTACTTTAGAAGTCAAACTTTAAATTACCTCTGATGATCAAAATTAGAACTTACTAGTAAACAGACTTAATTTGTTATTGGCAATTTGTCAAGAGGTAAAAACGATTTTCTGCTGTTTTTCGTTCTTTTCTCTCAAAACTAGTGTTCGGTGAAAAGTTTAAAGTATAAGCACTTAACTATTACGAAATGGCATCACATCAGAATCAACATGAAATAGAATGTTAAAAGCATTTAAGATGAAAAGATACTCGCCAGGTGTTTATCAGTAGTTTCATTTTAACTACTCATGTAGCTGATATATAATTTGTTTTAGAGTTATAACTGACCAGATCCTTCTTTTATATGTATACCATATGGCAACATGTGTCCTGAACTGAATATATATTTTTGGCCTTAAAACATTATGCCGGCTCACAATTTTTGAGGAAGAGTGCAAATTTAATTAAAGCCCCAAGGTTGACAGAATGAAAATAGATTTCGGCCAAATTATACCCCTGGAGATATTTTTCACAGACCTTCCTAAGACAAATACGTTATTCAAACAAATGAATGTAAATGATCGTAGTGACTGAATATTTTATAAAATCTTGTAGTTAGAAGTCCGACATCGCGACAATAGTAATAATTTGCCAGTGAATATTGAAACTGTAGAAGAATCAATATTTTCAAGACCTGATAATTAATAGAATGGAAAGTTTTTAAACAATGAAGAAAAAAAAATTGACAAGAGCTTCAACTTACCAGATAAAATCGCGAACTGAACAGGTCTGTATGCAGTCGGCTTTTTTAGCGAAATCATAAAAATTGCGGTATCTAATTTGTTATTGTCAGTAAAAGCATGTTTTGTGCAGTGGTTATGTAACTCAATTTTGTTTATATAAACAGTTTTATTATTCATTCAAATATTTCTCCGTTTCCGATTGGCTTTGTCCCTTGGCAAATTTTTCAAAACCAGCTGTCTTCAGACTAACGGTCGGCGGTGGACAACAACCTTCGCAAACGGCTGAACTGCGATAATTGTTAATATCATAACCAGAAATACGTTATCGCAAAAACTTCGCGAAGTTATAGAGGGTCAGAAAAGAATAAGGGAAACAAGGTATAGGGAAAAATATGATAACGCTGTTTTTTAAGCCTTTGCTAAGTCTATTCACCATTTACAGATGCATGCTTTCGCGTGGGAAATACAAAATATCTTTTAAAACTTTTATAACAATTTCACGGGAGACCTATTGTCTACAACAAGTCAGAAACAGCTATATGGAAAACAAAACATTTAATTAAAAATGGATTATTATATGTCCAGTTATTTCACACAAAATACAGACATTTTCTTCTTTTAAATAGACTTAAATAGTTTCCCTGAAAGCGATTGCTAAGAGAGTGCTCAGAGAACTCTGGAAACGAGTTTGCCGAGTTACCTTTCTGTAAAAGCGTAACAATGAGTATTAGTAACAGTAAGCCTGGAGATTTAAGTTAGGGAGATGAAACAATCGCTCTTAGTACAAGTGCAACTGGCAATGACATTAATCCGTCTGTACTCGGCAATTGTGTCATAAAGAAACGTTTTTACTTAAATCGCCATTTTTGTTGACTTTGTAGACTACTATCGACAGGTAAAAGTCGGAATTGATTTAGATTCCATCTTTCTGTTGTTGTTTCGAGAAAAAAAGTCGGTTTAATCGTTTTTTCTTGCGATAACCACTTCGATGAACCACGACGTTTCGATGCATGTCTCCGACCGTCAGGATGTATTGTCGATTGTGTCGTGGCTGTTCTAGTTCGCTACACAGCCGTTTTTAGTGTCGTTACGCAACGCTCCTCCCCACTAACGGCTGCTGAAAATCGAACCACATTCCTTTCCCACGATTAGCCAATTAGAATTCAGCTCCCATTTTCTGGAAGGTGTTCGCGCCACGTTTGCGACTCTTCCAGTCACAGCTTTGCCTTTATCGTTGCCCCATGTGTGAATGACAGAACAATCAAAATCGTCGCTTGAAAACAAGCAATCAACAAGGGTAGTGTTGTCGTAATCGAGTCCTTTCAAAATTTTTGAGATAAGCAGCAACAGCAAGCAAATCGAGCAAATATGATGCACAACATGGATATGCTTAAAGTTGCCGGGTATAGTTTCGGGAAATCGCTCATCGATAATTTATATGATTGCTTCTGTTTGAATCAATACCCATGAGAGTTTAGTCTTCACAGTCTTCACATGTACAACAACACAATGAGCACATCCGGCACATGAAATTCATCATACATATGCACGTTAAAAAGAACCAACCGATCCTGGCAAGAGTCTTGTAGGCCTATCAAACCTTTTTTTTGGCTTGGAATTGCAAACAACCTTTTCGTTGCTGGCAGACACAGAGTCCATCAAATTTCAGCGACGATTGATTGATTTGTCGAAAACTGAGAAGCGTGTTCGCTACTGGTGCCCTCCGGCTCACGTATTGCCAAGTTTCTTATACATGATTGGTTTGTTCGTTAGACCACAAACACAAGGGGAAAGAAATGTGGTTCGATTTTCAGCTAGACTGCCAGCAGTCTCTCTTTTTCTTCAGATTTAGTAAAGGGAGTGCACGCGCGCGCGAGCGTTGAGCAGCGAAGCCGCGAGACGCGAGAAACAAGAGCTCTCCCGTCTCGCGCTCTCAGTCACGCGCGTGGTCATTTGCGTGTCTCGGGCGTTTTGCTCGACGGACCAAGAAAAAAGAGAGACTGCTCGTAGTCTAATTTTCAGCAGCCGTTAGTGGGGAGGAGCGTTGCGTGACGACAGGCTAAAAATGGCTGTGTAGTAGACTATGGCTGTTCGGGATTATTGGCAACAGTCTTGGCTCGCTGCTCTTCGTAATTGTTTCGATTTGGTCCTCACTACTCCAGCATTACTCATGTTACATGATTGTATAACTAGCAATGGAAGTCGTTTACTCGGTAGGCAGCTAACGTTCTGGCGATCGAATGTTTGGGCATCAATACTATTAGGACATCAATTCCATCAATTCCATCGGTCCTTTTGATGTCAGGGCCCGTTTCTCACAAGTCCGCGAAACTATTCGGGCCCGAAATCAAATATTCAAATCGAAATATAAAGAATAAGAGCGCCGGTCCTGGCTAGCAAAGTACTCCGTTTTGTTTCATCAACTGATAGTTTTATCATGTTAGACGTAAAACAATCTTTATTTATCCATGTTCAATTCATCAGCAAAAAAATTACAATTCAAATAAGACAACATTATAAACTATCTACATTATAAAACATATTAAATAAAAAGCTGATTTCCACGAATGCCGTGCCCTAGCTAGCCTCCTACGCAGGCGTATTCAGGGGAGCTCGTATTTCGTCCCTCCCCACAAATAAGAGCTCCCCTAAAAACGCCTGCGCGGGAGGCTATGCCCTAGCGTACTTGTTTAAGAAGACATCTGAATTTCGTAAGGGGCTCTTCTTGCCTCACTTTACACGGGAGTTTTTTCCATAGGATGGCGCCACTATAGCTAAAGCTATTTTTGTAATTATTTGTCCGTGGTAAAGGGGTGCAAAGTTTATTCTCAGAGTCTCTAAGGTTATATGCTGTTTCTCGTATTGCAAACTTAGAACATAAATATTCTGGAGCCAACCCGTGTAAAGACTTATAAACCATCGTGGCTTTTTCAATTTCATGCTGGCGCTCTAGATTTTTCCATTCTAGGACTTCAAACAGCTAACTAGCGTCTTCATCGTGGTCTGAAAATGTCAAAACACGGGCTGCTTTATTTTATAGTTTTTGAGGTTCCTAAGGTTATCCCCCAGTTTCCCCAAACAGTATGGCAATGATTGAAGTGAGGGTGAATAAGAGCTTGGTAAATTAGTTGTAAGGTGACTTAGGGGACAAGATGCCTTACTCGCTTTATTGCCATGATGCCAGAAGATACTTTCTTTTTTATCTTCTCCATGAGGCTACCCCAATCGGGATTGTCATCGATGGTCACTTCAAGAGATTTAGCAGTGTAGCGACTTGGAAAACTCGAAAATCATTAGCTGCAAGTGTTGGGGAAACTGTTACTGTACCTAGCCTCTGCCTAGATCCAATTAACATGAACTCGGTTTAAGTCATATTTAGAGTGAGTTTGTTTGCTCTTAGCCAGTTGTGAACATTTTCTAAGTCTTCCTTTTAACTTGTCTGAATATTGTGAATATTGTTGCCCGTGTATGTAATTAAGATGGGTATCATCAGCATACATCCGAGGCTCGCAATTTGACAGGCAGTTGAGATGGTTAATATATAATAGAAACAATAATGGACCTAAAATAGTACCCTGAGGGACACCACAACTTAAAGAGCAACTGCTAGAGAGGAGACCATCGATAGAACACATTTGTGTGCGGTGTTCTAAATATGACTGAAACCATTGATGCGCAATACCATTAATACCGTAGAGGTTTAGTTTTGATAAAAGGATCTCGTGGTGCACCGTGTCGAAAGCCATTTTTAAATCTTGGAATACGACAGCATTGATTTTGCCACGGTCAAGTACCCGTTACCTCAAGAAGAGCCGTCACAGATGAATGTATAGCACGAAAGCCCGATTGATATTTACAGATGATGTCGTTATTCAAAGGTGAAAAAACTTTGTTGACACTGGTCGGACGGAGCTGAAAACATTGGTATTTGCTGGTGATGTACCTTTGATAAACATAACCACCTGGAGAATCAATATTACAGCTAAGTTCTGGACCGATAGTAGCAAAATCATTATTAAATTCGTTCGAAAGCTCATTTGGATTGGTTATTGATACTCCATTTACTTTCAGAGATGTTACCGCTGTTTTCCCAGATTGACGTGAAGTAAGTTCATTGATAGTCTGCCAGGTCTTCCTTGAATCGATTCCATCACAGTGCATATTTCGGTAACTGGACTTGACTCGTCCCTCTGCTGGGATTTCTGGTAAAGGCCACATAAGCGACGATGAAGACGTCCAACTTCCAGTATATTGGATTTGAAGCCATTTATTTACTGTGGTTGGCCAGGTCACTCATATTCAAGCTTTGTACTCACCTAGAAACGGGTATTAAATGTCTTATCATCCTCTTCAGAACCTGGAAGATTGTTGCTATATGCAAAAGGTGCAAAATTATTGTCTAATGTGTCGTTGGGTTTAGGACAAGCCGAACTTTTTCGTGGAAAGTCCAACTCCATTACATGCATAGAAACTTCAGCCTTGCATTCAAATCTTTCAAGGTTTTCGCTTCTCTCGGCAATGCTGGATGACTTTCTTGTTTTGTCTCTCATCGCCTCTACAAACCTTCTTTTAATGGAGTGAAATGATTTTCCACCAACGTTGAAATAGTAAATGAACGGATTGCAAGTCGAGTTTGCCAGGCCCACACCATAGGTAATAAGCCGCACTGCATCCATAGGGTTTGGAAACTCCCTCAGATATCGTTCTAATATACCATGATAGAGAGTAAACGGTAGCCAGCAAATTACAAAGCAAATAACAACAATCAATAAAACACGAAGGACCTTCTTTCCGGTACGCTCTAGGAGCTTTTCGTTCGCTATCGTGGCGTTAGATTTAGCGTCCAAGGAAGATGACAATCTGCGTTTTCTGGTCCATACCACTCTTATTACACGATAGTATGATATGGTCATGGTTGCAAAAGGTATCACAAACCCAAGTAAGACAGATACTGCAAGGTAAATCCTCCCAAAGAGTCTCTTGCTTTGTGTGGTGGTGCAGTAATATATTGTGTGGTTCTTATAGTCAATAGGGACAACTTCAGCTGAGTGGAACACTGGAAGGTTTTGAACTGTACCGTAGATCCAAGCAAAAAAAGTCAGCCAGGAAGGTCTTAGATACCAAGCCCTCTGGACAGGGGTTAGTTCTTGCCTTACAAACGTCATGTAGCGGTCGATACTTATGACTGTCAATAAGCTTACGGAAATTACTGGTCCAAGATTCTGTAGATTAAGAAATATGAAGAGTTAAGACAGAAAAGCCAAAAAATTCGGGTAAGTGAAGACCACTATGACAAGTGGCCATCAGAATCCTGAAAATCATTTGCATATTCTGTTTTATTTCCTTTCTTTCTGTTGCGCAGCCGCGAATCCAGCAACTGTCTTTCGAATTTTGAATAACGCAATTGCCAATAACACGTGCCTTTACCACTATTTAACTGGTTTAAATCTAATAATGTGACTGTTTTTTGCAAAACATTTGAAACCGGTGTGGATCCTCGCCTGTGGCGCCGCAAGGAATCGACTTCACCTGCTGAGCTAAAGGATTCCGATTGATGACATTTGGAAAGGAGGGCGTAAGTTTCTGATCAGATAAACAATAATAACGGTGTCGTGAAAAGTTGAAAGAGAAAATGAAAAATAGAAGCAAAACGGAGCATAGCAAATGAATACTGACAGGGCTAGGGTTTAAGTTAAAGGTTTTGTCCCATGTTCATTTTCCCGTTCCCCATGCTTGTTATTGTCACCCTTTCTCACTTTAGCAATACCGCACAGTGTCTACTAGCTAATCAGACAGAAAATAGAACCATCAAAAACATGTTATAGTATCTGAACGTGAGCATTTTATAAGCATTTGTCTTTTCAGTTGACGTAGAAGCAAAGTCTGCACTACGGGCTCTCAAGGTTTTACTTGAAGGTCACTAAAACTTGTCGTGGGCAACTCCTGATAAAACTCTTAACGAAGGTCTATTCATTGATCGTCAGTTGATTTACCTGCATGAAGCGAGAAAGCTTACACAAGCCATTGTCTCTGACATGGTACTCATTGGGGTAGTGAAAATTACTAAAAATGGTCAACGGAACACACAGCAGGCATACCATCAGATCAGAAATGGCCAGGTGAAGGAGAAATAACTGGACAGATGATGATTGGCCTCGCCGGCGAAGGAAAACGATCAAAGCTACGACCATTCCATTGCCAACTACTCCAATGACAAAAATTAATCCTGTATGTTAAAAAGTAATGATAGTAATAATTCTATCAACCATAATCCCATTTACAGTAGTGACTTCATTATAAACTTTCAGTTACTTAGAGACGGGCGTAAAATCTGTCTCATTATACTATTATTATGACTCCGTAGATGGCACGCGAGATAGCGGAACACGAACTTAACGAGTGGTTAAAACATTATCTTTTGCTTTCGAATGAATGTGTCCGCTAGGACCAACTATATAAAGCAGCATATGAAGCAGTTGGTGAGCACAATTATAGTCATTTCAACCTCAATATCTTAAAAAGGTTTTGCGAAAGACAAACACTGAAATGAAAATGGTTTCAAATTTAACAACCCATTGTCTTATTTTATTAAGAAAAATCCCCTGCATTTTCATATTGGACTTTTAATCAAATTTCAACTTACTAAAACGAGATCGAGCGCGACGTTTCCAGTTCACCCCCATATATCGACTTGACTGATACAAAACGGTCTCTGAGAGGGTGTTTAATTAAAGGGATGAATCGTAAAGGAAAATATTATTCCGCTTTGTTCTTTTGTTGTTACGTTGCAGTGAATAATTTCTAAAAGGATTCCTTATTAAAGTATCTTCTATCTGTGAGTACAAGGCGGTGTGATACAAAGGTAATGATGGATGGCTTGTTTGTTCTGGTTAACGATAATTGATAAGAGTTTGCGCTGGAAACAATATCGCATGCAAATTGGCGAATTGAAATTTGTCACTCGCCCTAATACTCATGCAAAATTTAAAACAAAAAGTCTTCAGACAATCTTGTCTTCTTTTCCAAACGTTTGTCGTGCTCTTTTCTTATACAACGCAAACAGGTGCCGCCAGCTGACATTAACTAGCCAAGTTATTAAAATCAACCTAATAATTTTGTAATTCTCATAGTATTTAAACGTCATTCTTGGTTAGTAAAGCGCGCGTATCTCGTTCGGTACACATGAATTTTGAATTTTGATTTTTGCTTAGATTCGAAGAGTATCACGAGGCCATTCTCATTGAGCTTCCTACCAGGGCGTTCCGAGTATAAGAATGGGGACATAAATTAAAATTACTAAAAAATTGGTATGTTAATTTTTTGTGCAAGAAACAATTTAGTTATCAGGATGCGTTCTCTACAGAGCAGGTACCTACTTATTGAATAAGAGACTTAAAGCCACGAACATAAGAATTTTAGAGAAAAACATCAACTGCCGAACATTTATTATACCCGGGTGAAAACGGTTCAAGTATCGCCTGATTAGTGTGGAACGTTTCGTACGGCAAAATAATGCGTTCAGGAGATGGCGATCATGGCGGACACTCAAGCCAGACTCGAATAAACAAATTTCCCTTTGGCAATTACTTTGCGAGATTTAATCTTTTAGTCTAACTATCTTCCGAAGATCTAATAATTCATTCAGTCTTCGACCATGCTGAAAGAAAGGAGCTTCAAGCAACCTCGTAATAGATGCAAATGACGACTAGAGACTGCAGTGAAAGCGTCAGTAAAAAATGAATTTGCGGTCTTTCATGGCCAACTTAATTTTACCTAATTAAGAGTCGTCCAGTCTGTCAAATGTTGGTAAATTTTCTTGGAGTTGAATTCCAGGCTCGGCGTAGAGTCGCATTAGGAGTTTTTGCGTCGGTAGTCTGACCGGTCGTGCAGTGCGAGTCAAAGAAATGTACCAAACTTAATTGTCGTATGCACATGATTAGAGCTGTTGCTTTTGCTCACGAAAGCCAATGCTTTTTCACATTCTCGATAGCTGCTCCCGATGACTGCTTTTGCTTTGAAAACTGATAAAAAAAACTATAAAACTATTCAGTTAGTTGCTTACCATAAAAAACGACAGTTATAGAAAACGCACCACTTTGCTCGTCCCAAAGCTCTTGGCTCTCTGGCACGCGAACCATCTGATAGAAAATGCCCAAGCTCAAACTGATGGCTGTTTCGGGACCACACTGCAGAAGACAAAAAAATCAATTTACCACGGCGTAAGAAGGATTTTCGTTCCAAAGAAAGCGGATTAGTACAAAAGATAGATCACCTGTCTGTCGGTGTTTGTCTTCCTGTTTGCTTACGAAAAACAAAGCTACGTGTTTGCTTGTTAAATACCAGTTAAGTGAAATCTCGGATCTCTGCATGCATCTAGTACACAACGGAGATTTCAAAATTTCGGCCAGAAAGGCGAAGAAACTCAGGAACGTCTGTTTCGACGTACAAAACCCTCTTTTTCAATGAGAACAAGTAAAAAACTGCAAATCAACTTATGAATTTCATTTTAATGAGAAAAGGTTCCCTTCATACCGAAGGCTTTACACTTGGCCTAATTCGGCCTCGCGTTGAAAAAGGAGCCCAGGCCAACTCGGAAATAATCACACATAAAATTTTTATTTAATTGGAGTTAAGCTGCGCAGTTCAATATCGAGTAAAAAAGTGAAGTTGAGCTCTTCAGGGCTTTATAGATTGTTAACAGGATCGACTCAAGATACGTTTGACGTGTGCAAATCCGATGTTTGAGATCGTGGACAAAAGCCAAATTGTATTTGTTTCAGAAGCAAATATTTTCTACCAATCTAGAGCTTTAATTTTACACTGGTTTGCAACTAAAGAAACGGAATTGTAAATGTTTAGACCTTTCCGTTATCTCTCGAAATTTCCTTCATTTTTAGGGAGGGGAGGGTGGAAAGGGGGTATGTCAATTGAACTAATAAACTGGAGAGTCCGATTAAATTATTTTTAAAGACTGCTGATCGGGAACCTGGAGCGGAGTCTGCGAAATAGATGCTGACTAGAATTCGATACGTGCCGATCACAAAATGAAATTATTTGGGTAAAAGAGGAAGTATTAACAGAAGCAAAATGATTACTTTACATTTGACAGTTACTGTTATCAATAATTCAGTGCACTCCTAGGCTTGTTTGGTCTGAAAGAACTTAATAAAATCTACATCCAAAATATTATCTTAAACATCTTGATTTGCTAATGGGATTGCGGAATTTTTTAAGATGTTTTCTTTTTTTTACCTGATGCTATGAACAATCAATGAAGCAGAAGAAAGCACCAGAGCTTTTCGAACGGTCGATTTTCTCATATAAGCTGTCATTGCTCTGTTGTTTCTCAGGTATAAATAATGTATGAACAAATAAAGGAAAATATAAGGAAAGGAGGTTTCCGTGCTCTGCTAAGAATAACAGGATAGCCTTTACTCTTTTAATTTATAGAAAACAATCGACTTTTTTCAGCTCTATCACTCGATTCTTCACCTTACGAAAACAATCCCATCGCGGCTACAAAAACAAGTAGCCAAGGATGTTTTTTGCAGGCTTTAAGATAGAGGGGCACCCATCGACTATATATTTTCTGTAAAATATTTGAAGAAGCAAATATTGCCTAGAATATTCTATTGCTTGAGGACGGCTAAAAAATTTCTAGACGACCGTTCCATTCATCTACAATTTTCGAAGCTTGTCTAATAAATTTCCTTTCGATTTTCTGAAGTTTAATTTTTCATATCTCGCTCCCCTGGTTAGGCCATTTTTGGCAGGAAAAGGAGCTTTAGGATGAACGAACAGATACAAATTTTATAGCGCCGCTTAGAATGCATTTGTAGAGGTCTAAAAGTGCTCTATCTGGGAGGAAACTGTCATTGGTTGCCAGTCCCGAAGATAGCGTGTGAAGACAAGCGTGAATGACATTAGTAAATAACATTAACACCTGTCACAAAATTGCCGAGTTCGTACGCCCCCATCCTCCCCCGCTATTTTCTCATTTTGTCGGTGTGGATGGTGGCAGCATTGTACATGACGATCTTTTATTAATAATTTAGTTCGCTTGCAGCTTTGGCTTTCTCAAATTGATTCCAACGCCACTTTTATGTGATACTGATGCTACTGTCTTCATACCTCTATAACCTTCGTGCCCGCTTATTAAACTGAATGAAACGAGGTGGTTTTAATAAACAGAATTTCGTTTTCCTAAGTTTGTGAGTTTTAAAATGAGCAGACAAAAACGGCAGTTTTAGCCACTTTTGTAGTGTGGTAATTTACGAGAATTGTGCGGCTTTTTAAAGGAAGCGCGTACCACAATATGCCACACCATCTTAACTAAACCCTAACGAAAGGGCTTTTTTGTCCCAGCGCTGTAAAAAGATGTGGAAACTAAACTATTTACTTCCAAATCAGGTAAACGACGATTATTTATGGAAGGAAAGTGACCTAAGATGCCTGCTAGATCGAGGAGATAGCTTTTTGTTGTTATTTCTGATAAGTACGCGGACACGTTTCCTCTTCAAACTCCTGCCATGTACAGGAGAGAAAGGTAGGCTAAAAAGCAGCTGCTGTCGACTCTACTTTACCTAAAACAAGTTTGCATTTTTGTTTATCTTGCGGTCGTCGTACAGGTTTGTTTCCATTTTGAAGCCCGCGTGTGGCTAGTCACCAATCAGGGAGATAATTTGAAAATTCTCGCCCGTATTTCAATAACCGGCAGTCAAGAGAGCTCGCATAAAACGATGCCTCGCTTGGCTCAAGCGCCAGTTATGCAGGCTATGACGCAAAGAGAAATGAGCGTTGAAAAAAACTTTGAGGGCTTGGGGCTTGTTGGGAGAGGGGGTGGGGTGGGGGAAAACACTCCTCTCCCCCTCTTCCTTTCATCCACTTTTTCCCCTTGGCTTTCTCATTAGGCTTTGATAGACTGTGTTAGCATAATTTTTAGCATTATACTACTACATGAGAAATTAATCTGCAGTTTGATTGGCTCAGAGCAGTGGTATTTCAGCTTAATTTGAAATACCTACATGTGAAAATTACACAACCTTTGCGGGTAGTAGTATGAGCAAATAATAGCATTATTTGTACTTTGGCATAAATTCCACGAGTGATATTTCAAAATTGTTATGCGTAATTTAACGAGCCGCTAGGCGAGTGAAATTTGAGACAATTTTGAAGTGCCACGAGTAATAATTTTTAGCATATTTCGTAAATAGTTTCGAGCATAATTTTC